GTGTTAATGTGCGCAGTTATTCACAATATACTGTTGAAAAAAATTAAAACGACAGATTGTACAGGACACTTGGATCTTTTTAAAAAGAATAGATACTATCAATGTTTGTGTCTGGGTATGATTATGGATTATAGAATTTTTCATCTTTTCACTTATGTGAGGATATTTCAAAAAGTTTGTGGAAAAATAGAATTAAAAGATAACATGAATCTTCCTATGAACTTTTTGAAGTACCTTCATATGTAGTTTTAGCTGTTTCTGTAACAAGCGTGGACACATTCTTCCCCAAATGAACAAATACTTGGGTCTAGATATCCAGATAGATGAACTAGCAATGAAAACTTACCTTTACATTTTCATGAATAGATTGAAGTTGTGCAGCTAAAGCTACAAACGTTTGATAAATTTTCTGCATAGCCATTGACAGATCTACAAAAGAAAATGACATCATACATACATACATATATATATGTATATGTATATATATATATAAACAATCAATTTCATTTTCTATTATTTGAGTCCAATTTTTGGTATAGCTAATATAGAAAAAAAAACTCTGCCCAATATTCCAATGGCTAAGAAGACTCAGTAGATAGAGAAAAAAATATCTACATTAGTAATCTGGGGAGCAGGGAGAAGGGCCCTAAGATTTCTGCCTTTGTCAACACAGTAAAAATTTATAATAAAACATTTTATATTAACAGGGAATAAAGATCTAATCAGGGCCTTTTAAGGAAGTCTTCTTAAAGCAGCTTAAAACAACTACTAGTAGTTATTTAGAATACCTACTAGACCACCACAATTTAATATCTTCCCTAACAATAAAATAATGGTGCTATAAAAAAATTATCACCATAAGCATATTACCTTGAGGGGTTATATGTGAATTATTTGCTTGAGTGGCAAGATGATTTTCTAGTTCTTCAATCTGCTGTCTGTACTGCTGAAGCTGTACCTCAAATTGCTGAACCAAGATTCTGAAATAGCTATAAAACACATTTAAAAAGTCACATCGAATTCTTTAAAACATTATTTTCTTTATGTTCAAAATACCAAATAAATAACCCCATCTGAGTAGGCTTTTGAATTAATTTGAGGATTAATGCATCTTTAAGTGGCACACATATTAACATTCAAACAAAACCCCAAATGTTATAAATTATCAAGTTTTGATTATTCTAGTCACGAGTGATAAATCAAAATTAAGGAATAGTCTACAAAATAACTTAATAGTTTTCAAAAGTATCAAGGTCATCCAACACAAGGAAAGACTGAATAACTATTACAGATTGGAAGAGATTAAGGAGAAATTACACATAAATGCATTTTGAACCCCAAATAGGATTCTGGTATGAAAAAGTACATTAGAGGAAAAATCAGTACAATTCCAATAAGTTCTGTAGTTTAGTTAATATTGTACCACTATTAAGTTTCTTGTTCTTGGCAATTATGTAATAGTTATATAATATGTTAACATTAGGAGAAGCAGGGTTAAGAAATACAAGGAAGGGGCCGGCCTGGTGGCGCACTGGATAGTGTGCCGCTTGGGAAGCGCGGCGGCGCTCCCGCCCAAGGGTACGGATCCCACATACAGACCGGTTCCTGCTCACTGGCTGAGCGAGGCGCGGGAGCAACACCGAGGGTTGCGATCCCGTTGCCGGTCCCCGGTCCGGTACAGGGGCAACACTGAGGGTTGCGATCCGTTGCCGGACACGGAAAAAGACAAAAAGACAAAAAAAAAAAAAGAAATACAAGGAAATTCTTTGTACTACTATTTTTGCAAGTTTTCTGTAAATCTAAAATAAGTTTAAAATAAAAAGTTCAACTGTCAAACAGGTTTTATAACCAAATACTTACAGTTCTTCAATTAATAAAATTTATAATTTGAGAACACTATAGTATACTACAGAAAGCACATGTAATTACTGTACTATTCTGGTAAATTTAATCACAGAGAATACTAGATAAATTAAAAAAGGACCTTGAATAGCATGCAAAGGAATCCAAAAATTTTTCTCTAAGAAATGGATAACTGTGAAAGCTTTTTGTAAAATTAGTTCTAATGGCAGTAAGGGATAAAATGTAGTCTAGAGGAAGTCCTGTGAGGAAGCACATACCACAATAATCTGAATAAGATAATAGGAATGTCCTTATCATTGTTAATTTTCTGATTTTTGACAACTGTACTGTGGTTATGTAAGAGAAAAGCCTTATTTTCAAGAAATACACACTAAAGTACGTAAGCATAATGTTGAAATAAACTCTTCAGGGAAAAAAATGTATATATATTCATACATATAGAGAGTGAGGAAATAAACAAATAAGGTAAAAATGTTAATGTGTAGGGAATCTGGATGAAAGGATACAGGAAATTTTTTTCTACTCTTGAAACTTTTCTGTAAGTCTGAAACTGTATCATAATAACTTAAAAGAAAAAAAGGTGATGAACCACGAATCAAACAGATCTCCACTGCTCACAACTCACCTCTGCATGCCTCAGGCTTCTCATCCCTAAAACTGGAATAACAACAGCTATGGAGGTTTTGTGAAAAGTATGAAGTAAGGTATGAACAGTGCTGAGCACACAGCTTGGCAAATAGTAAGCACTTGGTAAATATGAGCTATTATTATCTTTTTCTTTTTTAAACTCAACACAAAAGAGGATAAGCAATTATTTTTATCAACATGGGAGGATATAAAAACAGAAAAGATACATATCACACGTATCACATACATATCACATGTATCACATATATAAGGATATATAAGTACAAGCTGACTGATGTGATTACAGGTGGGTTTTTTTCTTATGAACATTTTCTAATTTTTCTTCCTGAAGATGTATTACCTATGTAAATAAATAAAAGCTATACATATAAGTAAAAGGGTTAAGCTACACGAATTGTTTAAGGATTGAAGTATCACAAAATTATTTTTAATTCAAAAATCCCAATGGGTAAAAATTAAGTTTTCACTACCTATGAAATTTAAGAAAGTGGAATATACCCTTTATATATAATGTAAGTAACATTTACATTAAGTTTAGTAACTGCATAATAGGGGTTATAAGCTCAGACCTTAGCCTTTGCTTAACATTCAGTAAAATGGGGATAATAAAATACCTTCTTAGGGTTATTATAAGAAATAAATTTTAAAATTTATGTAAAGTGTTTATTAACTAAACCTTTCCACAGAGTAAAACTAAAACTTCTTACTATTCTGCTCTCTTAAAGTGAGAAACGTTTGTTTAAAAATATCCAGTAACTTACTCAGCAGGAGCTGTATTTTCATGTTGAAGTCCAGGTGGGGTTTTCTGGGTTCTTAAAGCTATTTCAGCATTCTTTAACTCCTAATATACCAGAGGTTTAAAAAAAATTTAAAAAGCCTGTTAAGAGTTAGGCTAAAAATGCCAACTACTTCTGAAATGTCAAACAATGTCATTATTGGAGGTTCATGCTAATAAAGATATTATGGATGAGGCTGCTTGACTACAAGTTACTAAAACCTCATTCAAGAAAAGGCAAACTACTTTTAAGAAATTTTATGATAAAATTATAATGAGCTACCCACCTCATAGGGCTGTTATGAAAACTAAACTGGTTTAATAGATATAAATTGCTTAAAATACTATGTTGTACATAGTAAACACTCAATTAAAAAGTAGTAACTATGATTATTATAGCAATTTAAAAGTATGTGGACTATCTGTTTTCTTATAGCATGTCTATATCAAACTGTTTTAAAAAGCCCTATTCCCATTTTGGAAAAAAACAAAATAAAAACCCTACGGTAAAATAGCTGTAAGGTAGTATACCTGAGCAGTTTCTATTTTCAATTTGTCAATACTGAGAGTGTTTCTCTGTAATCCACTGGCAGCCAATGAGAGAAGCTGCTTCAGAGCTTTAATATCTTCTTGTACTTTAAGCATTGCTTTTGAAGACATTCTACTAATTTCTTCTTGGACCTGTTTTTGTTCCTTCACAAATTTCCTAAAAAAATAAATAAAACTGAGGTTTTAAAAAATATAGCTTTGATTGTCTCTAGAAAAAAAGTACATTTAAAACAGGATGGTCATGTTTACTTAGATTTAGTCATTCAACAACGTATTTTTACCTCAAAACATCATGTTGTATATGATAAATATATACAATTTTATCTATCAATTTATAAAAAAGTAAAATTAAAAATAAAATAGGTTGGTCAGAGTCCAAGAGTTTTAAGAAAAAAACAAAAACAACAACAACAAAAAACTAAAAATTCAGGGCCGGCCCGGTGGCGCACTGGATAGTGCGCCACTTGGGAAGCGCGGCGGCGCT